GCCCCGCCGCCGCTCTGGCGGTCGCGCCGCTGGAGCTGCCCCGTGGCGCTCTGGGAGGGGTTGTGTTGGCTTCGGCGGGCGCCGTCCGTGAGCGGCTCTCCCGAGCGCAGGAGCGCACGGCGCGCCGCGCCGTCTTCCCCGGGCGGGCGGGCGGACCCTTCCCCGGCCCCGCCTCGCTCCGCTCGGCCCCGTGGGCGTAACGCGTGGGGCGGCTGGCGGCTGCCCGCCCGGCCTCGGGCGTTTGGCGGTCTGTGAGCTGTAAAGCAGTACGTCGCGGAGACGGCGGGGCTCGTCAGGCGCACGTAACTGGTTTAAACTGTTTTAAGTTAAAAAAACCCAAAGGCCAAACAAACCCGCGTTTTAATACGTTTGTAGGTTTCTGAACCTCGGTTGCTCTTTGGCTACGCAGTGTAACTTTCAGGAGTCGGTGTTTTATGTTCCTTTTCCGGACGTTTGCTGGCCAAGTTATGTGTGAGGAGAGTTTCTTCGGTTAAAAACCGGGGTGGGGTGCTGGGCGGTTTCGCTGCCCGGGCTCACCTGGGCCTGATTGCCACCTGCCCTTCTCACAGGTGCAAGGCATTTACACACGGGAGGAGCGAGTATTTTTTTTTCAAGGAGGACCGATTTCATATCTCAGTAATTACGGTTTTGGCACAGTGCCCACACTACATCTGGAGTGTTGTTTGCATTTGAATTCTGCTTTATTAACAAATTGTTACACTTGGAATCAGTTACAAATAGGACAAAAAATAGCCAATAGGAATACTTTAGAGTCTTCGGATTTCTAATTAAACTGCAAATTGTGTGCTACTTGAAGTACAGTATGCTATACATATATTTTAACAAACGCTTTTTATGTTACTGTGTGTTTTGTGTGAGGCCACAGGCATCAGCCCAGTACCCATCAGAGAGTTAACAGAGTCTGATTAAGAATCAGCGAGTGTGGATTCTTGTCGTGTGACAGACTCATTCCCTTACCTCTGGGAAGTCTTATCCCCCTTCTGTGTCCTGATTTATGCTATCTTTTAAAGAAGAAGGGCCCTCTCCTCCCTCCACAAAGCACAGTGGGAACTATGGATAACACAGATTATAGAGAAGGTTGTTGTTGTCATAGCTCCTGATTTTGGAAGATAAATGTAACCACCTTGGATTTAAAATGGGTTAAAATTGCAGATTCACTTAACCTGCTTTTGAAAAGATGAGAGGAGCAATGAAAACAGAAATTAATCCAAGCCCCTTTTCTCTTTAAGGAAGGAACTGTAGGTCAATAAATCATTTTATTTTGTTCTTGGAGTGTCCTTTGGAATAGAGATATGTGGGCTTTTTGTTTTAACTAAGCTGCAAGTGACTAATAGTTCTTTCTCCTTTGTTATTTAGCAAGTTTCAAGGAAAGATTTGGAGCAATTAACTTGCACAAAATGTGCAAGACAGAATAAGAAAAACTACCTCTCTTGAAGATTTCGTAAGGTTTATTCAGTGTTAAGGTGTGATGAACAGATGCGTTAAACACTGTTTTGTGGAAACAACAAAACTACAAGTGGTCATGTCTTTCTTATTGCTGAAAAACATCTAATATCTTCTCCATCTTTCAGGATCAAGCAGAACAGTTCTTTAGAAGTGGACATACAAATAACTGGGCAGTTTTGGTAAGTGTCATCCAGGTTGTTTTCTTCCAATAAAGTTGACAGTTTTTCATTAGGAGCTGTAATTGCAGCAGTCACTCAAGAATTCTGTTCATTTGAAGGAAATGGAAAGATAAAGACTTGGAAGTGAATAAATTTGAAATTGTGCCTGCAAATTTGTTACATGATAACAAAATCGTCTTTTCAGTATGACTGCATTTCAAGCACTTAAAAGGGTCTAGCTATGTGGCAGGATTCATAAAACAAAAGTTCTGACAGCATTAAAACAGTTAAATCACCATACTGCATATTGAACAAAAGTGTAATTCTGGTATCAGAGAAGTATATGTCTTTGACCAGTAAGGTACAATTTATTTCTGATTTTTGTTCTTACTCAGTCTGTTAACTTGTGATAACAGGCTTAGAACAAAATAAATTCAGGCAACATAATGTTTAGATCAACTGTTCTTATTCTGATTTTTTTTTTCTTTCCCGTGAATCTTTTATTAGCTTTGAATCATGCTGCACAATTGGTTCTTAATCACAATTCAGGTCTTAATGACTAATTTGTTTCAGAACACTATTGTAATTACTCAGTAGCAGCTGTTTGTTTTCCAGATACTAAAATTGAGCAATATAAAAGGAAATATAACAGTAATTAAAATTAAAAGGAATAATTTTTATATTCTACAATGTACAAACTTGAAACTATTAAAACATCAAGTACTACTTTAATACTATTAACAAATAGGTGCTTTTATTAGTACCCATAAAAACACACAAAGAAGGTGCAAAATTAGGTCCAAGGAGCTATATTTTCTGTCTTCAACAGATTCTCTGCTGGTTATATTTTTTCAGTCATTCATGATTAAGCTTTACAACAATTGCTACTAATTTTCTGAGCAGTAAAATAGGGAGGGTTTTACTGCTGTTAGGCACTTCAGGCCTGGGATTGTACTGCAATCCCACCTTGTCAGTACTTTGCATTAATATGCTGCGGTGTGAATAGCTATATTTAAAACATAGACACATTTTCCACTGTGTTGTAAGGGAGGTAATGGAGGAAAGGGGCAGATGATAATACCTTGAAATGTCACAGCTAGATTGGCCACAGTTAGTTTTCAGAGATTTAAGTCTTGCTGAAAAGCAAATGATCTCATGGACTGATTCCCATGGGCTTTTTTGAAATTCCTGACAGGATGATCGAGACACAAGGGGGTCTTTTCAGGCTGAATTTTTGTTATTATTTAAGCTACTACTCATTTCTTTTTATGAAAAGGCTAGAGAAAAAGATGCTACATAATGTAACTTAAAGATGTTTGTATTTAAATTAGAGCTGTACATGTAAAGCTGAAAAATTAAAAAAACTGTCTTAAATGCTTGTTCCTGCTTCTCTATTTTTGTGGTTTTAAAGTAATGTCTTCTAAAATGCTTCTTCCTTTGTCTGTATGAAAGACTTGTAAAGCCAAGGAAATTTGTCTCCAAAGGAGAATTGCTGTCCTTGGTGTGGAACAAACAAAAAGTAGTGAACTGAAGTTAAACACAAGGACAACAATAAGGCTAGTAAGAAACTATAGCAGATTGCGTCTGAAGGTTTTTGAAATGTCATTGGTTTGAGGTTTTTGAGGACAGATTAAATAATATCTGACTTAGGGAATAGTTTAAGTACAGGAATGGATGATCCCCAACCCTTCGCCTGTTAGAACAGTAGAGCCTGAACTCCTTTGAGATTTTTGAGAATCTGTGTTCAGATTTTGGTTAGAGCTCACTTAACTCTTACGTTATTATATTTGACTCCTTAAATGCAAATGTCCTCAGTGTATTTTCCCCTGTGTCACTTCTGCATGAATTCACGTATGCCTTTGTGCAAGAATGCTCCCAGAATGGGTTTTGTATTTAGATGAGAACTCTTCCTTTGATTTTTTATTCCATTTGATAGGAAGAAAGCAAATGAAAAAATTTAGCTTATCCACTTACTATTGCTGAATTATTCCCTAAAGTGCCACTTTCTATACTTAGTTGGGTTTCCTGACAATTTTTTTCATGAGTCAGTATGTTAAGATTTTTTTTTTAACATTTTCAGCATTTGTTGCTTTGGTACAACGAAGATTTATATAGCTTATATCACGAGTTTCTTGGTGTTGCTACATTCTCTCTGATTTGTTATTAGTTTGTTGATATTCCTGTAATTATGGTCTTCTGATGCAATGTGCCAGGTAAATTTTTATCTTTTACACTATTTAATATGATTTTTTTTTTGTTTTCCCCCCCAAGGTGTGTACATCTCGATTCTGGTTTAATTATCGTCATGTGGCAAATACTCTTTCAGTATATAGAAGTGTCAAGAGGCTGGGCATCCCTGATAGGTGAGGGAATCTTGGTGAATACAGTTCCTTGCAAATGTGCTATAAAAGTTCTCTTGTTGTCTGAAGCACTATAAAAAGACATTTCTCTTCCCAGTTTAACTGGATAAAAGTAAAAATGAAGGATGTGATCACATCAGTGTATTGAAAAGTGCGGCAATATTGTTCAAAAGGAAAAGCAACAAGTTATATAATAAAACTTTCAGCTGGAATAGGCTAATTAGATTAAAAACATGAGGAGCTATCTGGCCACTAAAATGTACCACTTAGTAAATTGGTGAAAGCATAATGTGAAAATTGATAAATGGATTCAGCAATGACAATACTACTCTGAGAGACAGCTTTTGGTGTAATTTCCTTTTCAGTGTGGAGATGTTAGTAACCCTAACTGTACTAAAATGTGAGACTTCCAAGTCTGCAACTAGTTTAGAGTCTCTAAACTAAAGGCCCTGAACAAAGCAGCTCTTACGTATTGAAAGTAGCCTTGAAAAATCCATTTTGCATGATGTTTTTAGAGAAACCAGAAGCTTTGTCCATGCAAATTATCCTTCTCTAGTGATAGCACGATGGTTAAAATAGTATCCCTTCTTTGACAACAGGATTGGGAAGGTGAACAAACTGTTCTGAAGTGTCTTTTAGTTGTGTTCCTAGTGGAAGTTCTAGAGGTATTAGCACAGTTCCATCCAGCTGTTTTGGAATGCAATTTACTTGTACCAGAACTGTGGAAGTGAATTTTAGGCACCAGCATCCACTGAATAATGGGCCATATATATCCATAGGCTCCTATGGAAATCCTGGTGTCCTGGTTTTTAATGTTAGTTTAGAGGACTGGGAGTTTCTGCAGCATGTCTGCCTAAAGAAGTATGGCCTGCTTCATCACTGCAAAATGCATATTCTGCTGGATTAAAGTTGTATGGCATTTTTTTGTCCAAGTCCAAAACTGTAGTATCTGGAGTCCCACTTAGCTTCCACTTAGCTGTGACTCAGTGGCAGTATCATGCTGTTTCCTGTGTTTATTTTTAAAAAGAAGAGAATGACTTCTCAGTTTTTGAAAGAGGGGATGTTGAAACCTAATTTTTAGAAGCATTTGGGGGCTGTAAATCTAGGGGAACGTACTGCCTAAGCACTGTGGGCTGAAAGCCACAGAAATGTGGCAGGTTTTGGTACATCTCATTCAGAAGCATGTCTTCTCTCCTGTATAGCCTTTGAAGCATAGGTGCCCTAGGCACTACCTTAGAAATTCTTTCACTAGTTCTGCCCTTACCCGAGAACCTTCTTCTCTGCATCCATCCGTCTTCACCGTTAAGATCAAAATAGGTGGCAGTTTTAGAAATACAGCAAAAACTATAGCATGGCTGGAGATTTCTGTTGTTCTGATTACAGCCTAATCCATTTCTTGCCCATACCCAAGGGTCTGGAAATTAATCTCAAAAAGCCAGCAATGCTTTAGACTAAGTTCAAAAGTAAGACATCGGAGGAGACCTGAAGAGACAGAGCACGCCTATTTTTTTCAAATTTGCAGCAATTTTTACATGGATTTGAGTGCATTTCTCCCTTAGACAAACTTCTTCCTCTGTTTTTCTTTCTTTGCTGCAAAACTTCATTCAAAATATTGATAAGACTGAACCCCCTCCTGCCCCAAATCACATCTTAAAAAGAAACATTTACTATGATTCTTGGGGTTGATTTTTTTTGGAGGGGTTTGTGCATAGCCTCATTTTGAATGGAACTGTGTCAATTTAGTGATTTAAATAGATTTGTCCAACAACAGAACTCACTAGGAAAATTCTATAACTGTAAGTTGCTCTGGTTTGTTGACATGTGGGCACAATGCTCCAATTCATAAAAGAAAAGTTTTGCTAAAATGAAACAAAGCCAGAACGAATCCAGAAATTCTTTTTGATTCCTGGAATCATTATGCAGTATAAGTTTTACAGCGTGAAAATAGCATTAATAAAACATATGGTTAGATTACTTTGGTTTAACAGTTAAGCTTCAAGTTAACACCTAGGTTGTTTTGCTGGGTGTATGAACCACTTGTACACAGTGGTTCTGTTTAACCGAGGGATATTTCATATGCTTTTAAGAATGCCATACAGTATACAAACTTTGCATATTTGTGCTACTACTATGCAGAACCTTTTAATGAGTGTGCGTGATTATTAATTCTTTTTTTTTTTAATAGACGCATTCCTAGCAAAAATACAGGGCTAAACTGTAGGCCTAGTGATGGCTTAGTGTGGTATATTCTAAGTATAATACAAAAAGTCGATGTACACCTGACTTGTCTCAGTAAATCCACAAAGCACATGTTCAACACTTGCTTCCAACTAATTCCCTTTTAATGATACTCTTTTATAAACATAGTTTTGTACTGCTGTGCATGTGTGGAGAAAAAAAACCTTGGTTTCTCTTCTGTAGTTGTCCTCCCCTGCTTCTGTCCTTACAGCTTCATATTTATGGCAGCATTTTATTCCCATTCAAATAAGTAACTTTGATTATTTTTGAGGATTTATGCTCATGTTATTTTGGACAGCATTTTTCTCCCCCCCCCCCGCCTTGTGCAATGTGGAGCATATCAGCACTTAATAAAGAATAACTTTACTCTTAAAGTGCTCATGCAGACATGTAGGTGAACTATGACAAGCACGGGAATGGTGTTTAAATAACAGGACATAGTTTAATTTATCACTGTGTGCCTGAGAGTCTGAATTAGCAGCATTCTTTGCAGGATACAGAGCTTTCATTTTGTTAAGCATTGTTTGGGAGAACACAAAGATCACAGTCCAGGAGAAACTATATCCAAGACAAGGTTATCCGAGGGAAGGACTGACTTCACCTTGTTCCAGACATCTCTGGCACATTCTTCCTAGTGCTAACAGTCTCCAGTGACTACTTGTTATTTCATATTTTGACCCAAGCCTGACCCTGCCAGGTGAAATACAGATCTTTGGCTGCGTGCAAGTTGGAAGAGCTTTATAATGTGGGGTTTTTTTTTCTTGGTACTGTGAAATGCTGGGTTGGTTTTTTTTTTCTTGGTACTATGAAGAAGACAAAATGTCTGGTGCCAGTGCACTTGTGTTCTTCAGGAAAATTCCATTAACACAGATAATCACACGGTAGTGTATCAGATGTAGTATAATGGTTTGAGAAATGTTCAGGAGCTCCTCAAATTTAATTAAAAATTGTCATAATGTTTTTAATTGATCTGTCTGAGAAGGTGCAAACAGGCTGGGATTTCTTCTGTGGAGCTGCATGAAATGATTTAGTGCCCCATAAAAATCTTCAGATTCTTTTATAAAGAGTTCTGCCAGCCTAGGTCTAGGCAAATCTGTACCATAAAGTTGCTAATGTCAACTACTCTCGTGCTCATCTTTGGCCTAACTTAATCCTGTAGATGAATAACAGCTAGCTGCATTTCCATGTGTGGTATCTTTATAATAGTGATGATGTTCATAAGTAAATAGGGTATAACTAAGAAAAGTTTCACTTACAATTCCAGGAATCTTCTTAATGTTATAAGCTGTTGTTGTAGTCGTGGGGCAGTGTTGTTATAATTTCCGTTTGACTGTTATATGAAAGTAGAATGCCTGAAATGTTTTTGTCTTATTTTCCATAGTCACATTGTCCTGATGCTGGCAGATGATATGGCATGTAATCCCAGAAATCCCAAACCAGCTACTGTGTTTAGTCATAAAAACATGGAGCTAAATGTCTATGGAGATGATGTGGAAGTGGATTACAGAAGCTATGAGGTGACTGCACTTTAATTAAGTCACTGGGTCTTTGTTTTTAGTGTTGGTCTTAATATTTATACAACATCTGTGAAGTCCGAGGAAGTCTTTCTATTCACATTACTGGTTTTGGGCCGGCTTTTATTATGAACTCATAGGTTTAAAACACACATCCCTACCCACCTTGATACTTGGTTTTGTATTTGAAGTTTATTATACTAGAAACATGTTGTGTATTGGTTATTTTAAATAATGGAATCTCCACAGTGAAAAGAACATGTGGAACTCCTTTTATGTATTAGGAATACACACATATTACTGAAATTTCTCTTCTTTGGAAATGGCTGTTCAGTGTCTCATCTTGCAAACACTTAACACCACTGTGAAACTTCTGGCGTGCAAGTGAAATGTTTTTTAGGGAGACCTACTTAAATTTCTAATTTTAAGCATATGCTTTCTATCACAATAAAACAAAAGCCATAACCTAATCATTACTGTAAAGTAATTACTATATAGAAATCTGCATTCTATCACCTTTTCATTTTTGGGTAATATTCCTTCAAACAGACAGTGTCTTCACCAGTTGATCTTAAATTGGACATCAATTGCATGGTTTCATAGTGCTATATAATCATTACTAAAGTTTTATAGGAGCATATTTAAATATATAGTAGATGTTTTATTTCTCTGAAGCTTTGTATAAAGAAGTGAAGATCCAACACTGAAATAGAGATATGTTCTTTTTATCATGTAACATCTTTAACATATATCATCTTTAACATCTCTGTCGGTGACGTGGACAGTGGGATTCAGTGCACCCGCAGCAAGTTGGCTGAGGACACCAAGCTGTGTGGTGCAGTCGATGCACTGGAGGGAGGGGATGCCATTCAGAGGGACCTTGAGAGGTGGGCCTGTGTGAGCCTCATGAAGTTCAACAAGGCCAAGTGCAAGCTCTTGCACGTGGGTCGGGGCAATCCCAAGCACAAATACAGGCTGGGCAGTGAGTGGATTGAGAGCAGCCCCACGGAGAAGGACTTGGGGGTATTAGTGGATGAAAAACTGAGTATGAACCAGCAATGTGCACTCACAGCCCAGAAAACCAACCGTATCCTGGGTCGCATCAAAAGAAGCGTGACCAGCAGGTTGAGGGAGGAGATTCCCCCCCTCTGCTCCACTCTGGTAAGACCCCACCTGGAGTACTGCATTCAGTACTGTGGGAGCGTAAGAATGACATGGACCTGCTCAAGCGGGTCCAGAGGAGGGCTGCGAGCATCATCAGGGGGCTGGAGGACGTCTCCTATGAAGGCAGGCTGAGAGAGTTGGTGTTGTTCAGCCTGGAGAAGAGAAGGCTCTGGGGAGACCTTAGAGCAGCCTCCCAGTACCTAAAGGGGACCTACAGGAAAGATGGGGAGGGACTCTTTAACAGGGAGTATAGTGCCAGGACAAGGTGTAATGGCTTTAAACTGGAAGAGGGTAGATTTAGATTTAAAAAAGAAGTTCTTCACTGGGAGGGTGGTGAGGCACTGGACCAGGTTGCCCAGAGAGGCTGTGGATGCCCCATCCCTGGAAGTGTTCAAGGCCAGGTTGGATGGGGCTTTGGGCAACCTGGTGTAGTGGAAGGTGTCCCTGCCCACGGCAGGGGTGTTGGAACTAGATGATCTTTAAGGTCCCTTCCAACCTAAACCATTCTATGATTTTATGATATTTTTTCCTGAGTATGGATTTGTTGCTAGCATTTGAGCTGTGTACCTCTGCATGAAGAGGAAGTGGTGTTTAATAGGATGTTTTGCAATCACCATCCAGATGGGTCTTACCTGATTACTCAAAGACTTACAGAACTGAAATTGATCTTGTTTTTCCTTTCCTGAGTTGCAGAGAAAATTTAAACTTTTATTTTTCCATGGTAACACACATTAATGTTGGAGCATTTTGTGACTACATGGGCAGCTTTGGCAGAATAAAGCTATACATTGACAGCTTTCAGATCAATGAAAGTGTATTTAGAGATTATAATGGTAGTAGACTTACTGGATATAATAAAGCAACAGGCTGGTGTTAGTGGAATAAAGTAAAAGGTACCATATGATTGTGAACCTGCAGTAAAACCTTAAACGGAAAATGTCTGTTTATGCAGTTTATACCATGCAATATTTCATCTGCTTAGATACGCTACATATTTTAGTGTTCCATTATTGAATTTATATAACCTAGCCTAGAGTTGTTAATCAATATTTTTCTCTTTAGAAAATTACTTTATCCTTCTATTCATAGGTTACTGTCGAAAATTTCTTGCGTGTATTAACGGGAAGAATCCCACCAAGCACACCGCGATCTAAACGTCTTCTTTCTGATGACAGAAGCAATATTCTAATATATATGACAGGTAATAACAGGTTTCTGTATAGTTTATTGATGTTTGTCATTCAGTTGGATGGGCCTGTTGAAAGCATGAAATCCCATCAGGAGTCCAAACAAATAAAATGATTTTTTTTCTTTTTTTAGCATGTCATACTAATCAAGAAAAAAAACCTGGAAGGCAGTACCTGGCAAATATAGTTTTCAGTTTAAATGATGTATGTGTACTGTTCTTACTGTACTAATATTTTCTTTTGCTGGAGTCTATTTGGAGAAAGAATTGTGTTTGCCTTTTTTTAGAAAAATGGTCCACTGGGCTGAATATCTTCCTTTAACTTACATACCTGCCTAACTTCTGATTATTCTGTCAGGCCATGGTGGAAATGGTTTCCTAAAATTTCAAGATTCTGAAGAAATCACAAATGTAGAACTTGCTGATGCCTTTGAACAAATGTGGCAGAAAAGAAGGTAAGAAAAAAGCGTTATTTAGAGGTTAAATACCATCTTTCGTGAACACGTCTGAAGTCTTATCAGTAGACCTTGCTTACCTTCAGCAGTGATACTATCCTTGTCCATAAAATTGCATGAAAGTTTGCATTCAGAAATGTGATGGGTTGACCCTGGCTGGACGCCAGGTGCCCACCAAAGCAGTTCTATCACTCCCCCATCCTCAGCTGGACAGGGGAGAGAAAAATATAACAAAAAGCTTGCGGGTCAGGATAAGGACAGGAGAGATCATTCACTAATTACCATCACGGGCAAAACAGACTCAGCTTAGGGAAAATTAGCTCAATTTATTACAAATCAGCCAGAGTAAGGTAAATGAGAAATAAAACAAAATCTCAGAACACCTTCCCTCCACCCCTCCCTTCTTCCCAGGCACAACTTCACTCCCGGATTTCTCCACCAAGCCCCCCCCAGCAGCACAAGGGGGACAGGGATGGGGTTTACGGTCATCACATGTTATTTTCTGCTGCTTCACCTCCTCAGGGTGAGGGCTCATCACACTCTTCCCCTGCTCCAGCGTGGGGTCCCACCCATGGGAGACAGTCCTCCACGAACTGCTCCAGCATGGGTCCTTTCCACGGTGTGCAGTCCTTCAGGAGCACACTGCTCCAGCGTGGGTCCCCCATGGGGTCACAAGTCCTGCCAGAAAACCTGCTCCGTGGGCTCCTCTCTCCACAGATCCGCAGGTCCTGCCAGGAACCTGCTCCAGCGCAGGCTTCCCACGGGGTCACAGCCTCCTTCAGGCACCCACCTGCTCCGGCGTGGGGTCCTCCACGGGCTGCAGGTGGATATCTGCTCCACCGTGGACCTCCCTGGGCTGCAGGGGGACAGCCTTCCTCACCATGGTCTTCCCCACGGGCTGCAGGGGAATCTCTGCTCCAGCGCCTGGAGCATCTCCTCCCCCTCCTTCTGCACTGACCTTGGTGTCCGCAGGCTTGTTTCTCTTACATGTTCTCACTCCTCTCTCCGGTGGCTGCTTTCCGCGTCCCAACTTTTTTTTCCTTCTTAAAAATGTTATCACAGAGGCGTTACCACTATCACTGATTGG